ATATCGGCAGGAGAACGTAATCAAAAGCGTTGCAACGTCCTATCTTTGTTTTCATAGTTACACATTTCAAAAAAATTTCTTTCCATACTTTCATATTGTGTCTAGCATTTTATCTATTCTCATTAATGACATTTTAACTGTTTTTGTTTGTGTGCTGAAGAATAAAAAGGGCCTATGTTTTTATCATCCCTTGAAATAATACTTTATACCAGCGGTGCCCTAACTTGTGCTCGCCAGCCCGATTAGGTACTATGAACAAAAAATATTTTAAAAATAACCATTCTTTTATATTTCTTAATTGTTAAAATATAGTAAGCATTTTTATAGTCATAAGAGATATCTTGCAAGCCGTTATAAAACAATTGATTGCTGACTGATGAACTTTATAGCGAACATGGAATCTTATTGCTTCATTCCGATGTTAGATGGCTCAGCAGGGAAAAAGTGCTTCAACAATTTGTAGAACTTCTTTCACCAGTGAAGCAGTTTAAAGAATTGGACGATAATAATTGGTTATCCGATCTGTATTTTCTCATGAATATAGCCTCTAAACTGAACAAACTGAATGAAGATCTTCAGGGAAAGAAAAAACCCTTTTTCAATTGACTGTGACTGTAACTGCTTTTCAGATTAAGTAAAAAATTGTGGATAAATCAGATGAAAGGAAAAAAAATTCACCCGTTTTCAGAATTTATCAAGCGATATTAATAACCACAAGGCAACTGAAACAGAGAAATACTCGGAAAACCTAAATGCGCTGACAAATAATTTTGAACTCTGCTTCTCTGATTTCCATAAAGTTCAAACAATATTATTATTCATCTGAAAATTAATATCACATAAGATTGGAAATATGTTTAACAAAAATGTTGATATTTTGGAAATAGTCAGATTCAGTCGGAGCTATGCTTTAGATTTTGAGTGTAATTCCACTTTTAGCCCAAATAAGTTAACTATTTATCATTAATTTAATATTTTATTAAGTTTATATATATATTTTTTATTATGTTTAAGTTATGTATATCTTTATATTTTATTTAAACCTAATTTTAACTATTTAATTGTTTTAATTATTAATTATTATCTTAATTATTAATTTTTATTCTTCTTTTCTGACGGCCTTCCGTACTGCTCCGGCTATATATTTACGTAATTGGAATGACTGATAACGTTAAAGATGCCGTTAGGTTTCTTTAAAATAATAGAAAACAGCCGGTGGGTCATTCTGTTGAAGAAAACCTTTGTTTGTTTCGTCTTTCTGTCTCTCCCTCAGTTTTCTGATATTGAGTCAGGCAGGGTGATCATCTAAACATGGTCGCACCACACCGTGAAATTAATATCCGATGTTTGGGATAGGTGGCGGGGAAGAACGTCACCAGACTTCCGGAGGGGGGGTTACGTTGTCGGGCACTTCCGAGTTTCCAGTTAAATCATATCCGTATTCCCTCGCGTCGAACAGCCCGGATCCCCGAGCTGCGTTATCGTTTTCGGTTGGAGGAAATTCCCGCCTCTACAGGAGGAGAGGGAAGACCATCATTCCCCAGGTTTCGGTGAAATTTCGAAATGGATTGCGTGTTTGGAATTGGAAAGTTTGCAGCAAAGATCCATAGTATCCATTTCCGAACTTTTAATATCGCATCCCCTCATCCAGTTACTTCTGAGGGTGGTTTGTGAGTTAATTTCCATTATTAAATTTCGAATAAAATGTTTAGCATCCCCCCAAAATTTTCATTAACTTTTGCAAAATAAGGTATAATTTTATATAAATATCTTACCCTGCTTCATTATGTCGAACGCTTTTAGTTGACAAGTAAAGAAAATTAAGAATAAGGAAACACTTACCCGTACATCTAAAAATTTATGTGGGGAAGAAAGAAATATTTTTCGAAATGTTTCGAAGTTCTTATATACACGCGGCACTCACACGTATGCGTGCAAGATAAAAAGCATGCAAAACAAAATTCTGCTTTAATTTGTAATAGTTCCTAAGTCTCTATTTTAATTTGAGTATATTCCCTTTCTGTCCTAAAAGTATTAGCGGCTTATAATTAACCGCTTTAAACTTCATCGTTTCGAAGTTAATTCATTTCATATGATTCTTATTTATTCTTCTTCAGCAAATAAGATTCCAGATCTGCAAACCGAATTTAATGGTAGCCAATGGGACAAATTCGAAATTCAAATTAAATCATTCTGAACCGAAATTTCTTCTTGGAGACATCGCATTCACTATCTGTTTCTCTTACTAACACCAGCTGAGTTACTGTACCGCCTGTTATAAGACTATCAGCATTTGTACTCAATTGATGGAGCATTCTGTTGTCGTTAGGCCCAGAGAAAAATCTCTATGGAATATTAGCTTGCTAGGTAGACTGCTATCGCTGGTTTTCTTACCGATACGTCTTAAAAAGGTAAAGTGCTCTTGACGAACAGTTCCGCTTACTGCGTCATTCTATTATCACCGAGAACGAAGAACTATAACGACTGCAACTTCTTCTTTAAGCATATCCATGTCAGCAACTTCTAAATCATTATGTACATATATGCCTGTGTTCAGTAAGTTAATGGAAGATGTATGTAAGGCAGGTTTGAAATGTTAGACGTTTTTGAAGATGCAATAAAATATTTTGCCAAATAATTCCACCTTCATTTCATACTTCTTTTTCATCAAAACGGATCTTTATATTTTATTACATAACTATTCTAATAATAAATCTTTCATTATAATACTGTTACGGTTTATGTATTTATTTAGCTATTTTTAGTAGAATTGTAATTAAAATTGTTTCATTTCCCCGTGCAATGCAGCGCACGACGAGTTTTAAGAGAAAGCTACGCCAAAAAAATGTAAAACTACAGGAGCATGCGCATTTAACATTTAATAAATAGATATCTCGTAACTATATTCTTTTACTTTCCAGAAACCTCGAGAAAATACCAGAATGTTCTCGTGAATGATTAAAAAGCTTATAAAAGCCGGAGCAAAACATCTCGATTCAGTTGTTTATTAGTTGTTTTAGTAAGTTGTTGTTGTTTGTTCGCTGCTGAAATCGGATTAGCTTTCTCTGCATTTTAAATTGTGTTCTGTTTAACGTCTTAATAGTTTCAAATATAACTACTGTTTGATATTGTGATATTGTACGAATATCTGTGAGGAAAAATTTCAGCATTTTGTTTCATATCTTTTGATAAAAATAAATTTTGTTCATTTTTCATCACACTTGTGCATTCAATCTATTACGAACCCGTACGAACGCAATAATATTTGCTAAGAAAGAATTTTGAAGATTTACTTTCCTTCTCTAAATTCTCTGTTTCTTCATCTCGGGAAATCATGATTTTCAGAAACTCTTTCACAGCAGTGATGAAAGTTAACATTTAGATAACGATTTGCGTGAATCACTTTCTTGAAAACTAGCGAACTTTAAATCTGTTTCCCTTGTCATTGTCCTGCCTAAAAATACCTCTTCTTCCTTTCTGTTTCCATAGCGAAAATACATCTGTCTGTCTAAGGCGTTGTAGGTATGTTAGGATATCTTTTCATTATATCTTTTACCTGCTACCTAACAGATAGCAGAAATTCAGGAGCAGGAACTCACTAAACTAGGATTTAATAAAAGCAAATCTGTAGAAGTAAATCGCTTACTACATAATACTGACTTGTCTGTATTTTTTTCCAATAAATATGATAATGATCCGGCATTCTCTTTAAAGCATGTGATTGTGTTAGACAAGTGGTTACTTGCGTATTGTCGCAACAACCTTGGCAAAATTTAAAGAAAAACAACAATTACTTTTATTGCAAAAAATTATATATTACAAACATACGTATTATTTCGTTCATATTCTAGTTTCAACCATATGTTTATTTCAAAAGGACAATCAATAAACCTAGTTACAGAGGGGCTTCAAAAATATATTAATTCCAAAAGGCAATCAATAAATATAGTTATAGACGGGCTTCAACTATGTATTAATTCCAAAAGGCAATCAATAAACCTAATCACAGACGGACTTCAACTGTATATTAATTCCAAAACGCAAGCAATAAACCTAGTTAGAAACAGGCTTCAACTATATATTAATTCCAAAAAGCAATAGGTGAATCTAGTTGAAGACATGTTTTTGTTTTTGTTGTGATTTCGTAGCAATTGGTTTGAGAAAGAATTTGAAGCACTTTTTCTTTAGCAATTCTGCAACAAAATAGCGCATTCCTGCAAAAATTTCGCCCAACAGCGGCCGAACGGTCGCTGAACACTGGTAGTTCGGTCCGAGGTTCGAATCCCGCGAACGGGCTGGCTGCGTGGGTGTTTTCGTGGTTTTCCCCATGTGTCACGTGTTTACGAACCAGTTTCTCTTAGAAAGTCCTCCACGAAGGCATCCCTCCCCTTAGGCAGATAGCCCTCGAGGTTTTGCCGTAATTAAATAACCTAACCTGTAGAAATTTCACCTCTCTTTCTTCTCTTATAAGAGAGTCTTACAAGCACAAATTTTATAATCGAATTTAAGACAAAAAATAATCACAATTTTTCTGTAAAGTCGTTGGAACTTAGAATTTAAAAAAAAAAAAAAAAAAAAAAAAAAAAAAACCTACGCATATGAAAAATGGCGACCTGGAAACTGAATATTTACCATGCACATGGTTGCCTGAATAACTGTTATGCGCATGGTTACCAGAGTTTGGTGTATTCTGAAGCTTTGGCGATTTCTACTAAGGTAGTTGTGATAATATGTAAGTACCGACAGATGGCTAGAAAAATCCTCCCTGGTATGTAAATAACTGTAGGCAAAAGACGACTAACATTGTTTAATGCCATTATTATATTTGAAAAGTCTGCATGCCCATGTACAGTTATCAATTTGTTTGACAAGTTATTTGTTATGATAATAACCTGTATACTGTGCAGTTTGTTCTTGGCCTTTTTACCGGAATGTGTATTATTTCTATTTAAGAACACTTTTAGCCTTTTTCTTCTTATGTCTGTTTTATTTCGTTTCAGATGTCTGAGCCCACGGTCTAGGTATTTTTACGAGCCTTGCCCGTTCCCTGCTGTAGGTGAGTGCTCATTTTTGTTATCACCTAATTAAAAATGTATTTAAGTTTAATAAGTTATATACAAATTCTTTGATCTCTTGCATATATTTAAATGCTTTCACAGGCTTTGTGTATTTAACATTAATTATATTATTAATAAGCATTTTCTTCATAATATTTTGAAACTTGTCAGTATTAAGAATTCAGCTGAATGATATAAATCTTTACTATGTTTTATGGAATTCCCACTATTTTTTATCAAATCATTCAATATTTATTACTATGCATTTTATCTTAATTTTTAAGCCTAAATACTGTTAATCCGATCAAAGGCAAAATAATTTCAAAATTGGTTATAATTTCCATGACTTAATTTTATTGAAAATATTGCTAAAATACTCACTTTGATGTAATGTAAGAAATATTTTCTATCTTTTCTTGAATGTAAATGCGTAACGTGAATACGAGGTAGTTTCTCTCAGAAAGTCCTCCACGAAGGCATCCGTTGCCTCGGGAAAATAATTTTATGTATTTACAAATAGCGTAACTTAATCTTGGGTGTAAACGATGAGTTTCTAAACCAAGTCAGACAGTGCAGAATGCTGAGGAAGTCGATCAGAAGTCGAAATATAACAGCTTCGAACGATCGTAGATAAAAGCGAATCTGAGATGAAACAACAAACAAAAGATAAAACAAAGGAGCTGATTGGTAAAAGCTACTTTGGGTACTAAAGACGATAAAATATGCTGCATGTATGCGAAATATGCGACTTTAATTTAGCTAGTTTCTTTCGTACTGCTTGCGCAAATCACTTGTTTATTAGAAAATCGTAACATATAATGAAGAACAATGCTTTGGTATATGCTAGTATTATGTACAACGGTTTAATTTATAGCCATCATAAATCGCTTCCCCACGACGTATATCATATAACATATGATTATCATCCCTTGCACACACTGGGGGGAAGGAATCTGGCACATCATGGGGATTGACGACTATTGTACTAATCCCCAATCAAATATTAATAGCCTTATCAGTGCGGATAAGCTGTTATCTGTAATGTCAGCCAGCTCAGTAAAGAGTAGTTTTCACTTACTACCAGTTATAGCATTATAAAACACTTAACATTAATTTATGTTATTTTTTCATTTACCTGTACGTCTTTATGAGTGGTTATTTGTTCCCAACCTACATTTATTCTTTTTAAACATTGTAATTATTCTAGCTTAGATTGCATTTACGTAGTTAAATTTACCGTGAAATTATCAGGTCGTCTAAAACAAGTCAGATACTTTAATTGTTAAATTTATTATATAGTAATGCTGGCTACTTTAATTAACATGTTGTTTAATCTCGAAATTTTATAAAAACGAAAAGAAAAATATAGTCTGAAAATTTTAGATTACAGTATAACACGTGAAAGTGATTACCATTACAATTTCAAAATAGTTAAAAAATTTAAAAATTAAAATAATAAAAATCTTAATTTAAAAAAAAAATCGCAATACTATTTTTATATGCAAATTTCTATTTTACATCTAAAAAATTCATTGAAAATAAAGAGAGGCCTACTATTACAGTTAAATTAAATTAAATAAATTTTTTAAATAAATTTCCTGAATTAGTTTCTCAGAAATTCAAGATCCAAGACAAAATGTTGTTTTGAAAAACGAGCTGTTTAGAAAGCAGTGTGAGATGGTAGAGAAAAAAAAAAACTTGCTGTGATAATATTACATCATAAATTAACGCCAAGTGGAGAGGTATACACTTTTTAATTAAGAAAAGGCTTAATTTTGCAATATGTATCTGTGCCTTTTTTTGTACTGGATCATCTGCACGTGAGGCTTGCAATAAAAATTTCTCTCTAACAAAATGCTTATCCAGGAAAGGCAGTTATTTTACATCCTTGATTTCCCTGGGACTGTTCTTAAGATTTTGTATGCAAAATCTTGTATCCATAGTAAGATCTGCTTGTAGCCAAGCTTTAGGATTTTGCTGTAATAACAGAACTCGAGCGACCGTACAGATTGGTAAGGTCAATTTCCCAGCATAAGTCCCAATTTTTTAATACAAAAAATAATTCTAAAGTAAATATCCCTCATATTAAAGATGTGAAGAATATGCAAATGGTTGTATTAAGATTAGTTTATTTTCCTTTTTTCAACCAACGTATCAGTTCCTTCGTTTCCGAGTATTGAATATAATAGGGGATAAATACCTAATGCAGTGTTTACTTCCTTCTGCGAAGTAAAAGAAGTATTGTAATCACGAAAATTTATCGTATTTCAACGAAAATATCCATTTTGACCACTCTCGAATCCATTTGAACGAAATTTTTGAGTGACATTTGTATGTACGGACATAATAAAGAACACTTTTTTCCAAAACGCATTGTAAAATGAATTTAAAATGGATTCAGAAGAGACTTTTTTGTAACATTTGTACGTACGTATGTATGTATCTCGCATAACTCAAAAATGAATAGTCTTAGAAAATTGAAATTTTGTATATGAGACTGCTATAACATGTAGTTGTACACCTCCGTTTTTGGTTGCAATCGACCGCATCGAACGCATATATATACACCCACTCTGCTACCAGGCTCGGTGAGTTCAGTTATTTATTCTTATATGTTTGTAAACTATGCATATTTTTGCTTCAAAAGTGATTAGTTATGTTGTTATTATGTTCCGGTTAAATTTTTTATGCCTTTAGTTAATCTGCATGCAATAGTTTTAGAATTATTAACAATTTAAAAGATGTTAAAGTGCTGTTAAGCCTAACGAAGCCGCCATTTGTTTGCATTTGAAACGCTTAGTAGAATAGTGAACTAAGTCAGTTTCTGCACCAACGTCAGTGTTTTCTTGCCGAGTAAAACCAAAAGTAAACTTTCAGTTTTATGCACCAAAAAATCTGTCTTCCTATCCGCTGGCCTAATTTCTTGTTTTTGCATAGAAACTTTAATTTTAATTGTAAAATTTTTTTTAACTGTTTTCTGTTTTTCTGTATTTTACAATATTTAATGAAGATTTGACGAGTTATTATGTATTTTTGCCCTGCTTCGAAGTGAAATCTGAATTGATTGAATGAGAAATATATCTCTAGTGGAATTCTAGGAAATAAGTTTAAATGATATGCAGGAAAAAAATGTGCATAATTTAATAGGCCGTTCAAAGAAGTCTTGTGGTGTTCATATCAGATGTTTTAATCTGTGATGATGAATAATAGTGTTCTGATAGTTGAAGAATTTTTACTTTGGTCAAGTACAAAATAATCTAAGGATTTAACAGAAATTTTAGTATATGGAAGGAATGACATCGCTGTTAAATTTATATTTGAGACATAGCAAATGTTTAGGAGAAATATAAGCAACTTCCACCTCATCGTTAAATACCAGTAGGCAGTATTTCTTCAGAGGTCCATATGATGCAAATCTTGTGTTCTAGGAAGTTCCTTGATAACAGAAAACCAAGTTTGATTCTTTAGCGTTTTCTCCACATGCACCCATTCGAATGAATTCGAATACAGAAATATTTTAAGGGCAATCGTGTAAAAATGTTTTTCGCGTGTTTGCTTCAAACCTATTTCCTTTTCTGTCAGGATTGCAGGTATTACAGAGCATGCCACCACCAGAAATTCAAACTTTTACACCCTGAAAAAGTGTGAGAGATAGACAGGAAGTAGCTCACCCCCTGTGCCTCATCTCTACATTTTTTGTCCCCCACCCAGCAAAATTCCTAGCATACCGATCTCTTACAACCCATTCTACCGAAAACAGAGCGGAAGAAAAGATTTTAAATTGGAACTGGTTCGGAAAAGAATGAAAACAAAAGTGAAAAAAGAAATAAATAATAATAAATAATTTTTTTTAGATATATTTCATCGCTCAAATCGTTTCCAACTGTTGCCTGCCTCACTCTCACTTCTGTAGCAAATAAGTGTGTTGGAAAATATATCCCGCTGGATAGAGCGGAAAGATTTATCAAAGAAATAAAAATGTGTAAAAAATAGAATTCTCGCTGGGCTGTTTTTATTTTATTTTCCTCTACTCCAGCAACAAAATTTCCGAGTTTCTCGATTACATCGAAGTTGGAACGAAATTTCTGTGGGTTTCTTGTATATCTAACGCATAGAAAAACTATGATTTCGGATTTATTTTTAAGGATTTTGTAGTGAGTTCCTTTTGTGCCTGTTTGTGGAAGTTAGGCTATCAGATTGGGGATCGTTTTCATCTAAAATTCCACATCCTTGAACGTGAACTTTTTTTCATGCTATTAAAAATTAAATATGTTTCGATTATTTTTTATTATTCGAGTGACTTGAATTATTATGTTTTAAACATTTTAAAATATTTTAAACGTAATTACTGATTACCGTAGCTTCAAATCTGTAAATAACAGCTGTGACGTAAAATTATAGAAAATAATTTTACTTTTTAAAAATTTATTTAATTTAGTTTTTTAGCCCAAAGGCTCCCAGAAGGACTATTAGTCTCCAAACGGCATTTTGCGATGGTTCACTGTAAACGGCGTATTGTTCTTTAAATTGTTGCCATCAAATATTGTCACCCTGTGTTATATTTAAAGAAATTGAATAATAAAGAATCTGCTTGAATATAAGTATGTGTCTCGCACTGCCAAAAAAACGACACTACCTAGAGTTATCAAATTTTGAATAACGTAGTCCTTCACCCAAACACGGCCACATGGAAGCCGAATTTTGAATTTGTTTTATTATCTATTTCATATTTTGTAAAACTTTAACTAATCTTTAATTAACAAACTCAACGGTTTCAAAGCGAGCAATGGCAACACTGTAAGGAAAAAAAATATCTCCATTGCGCGAGCCTGTGTATTCTAAAGATATGCTGTCTTAAAATATTTTGTGATATTGCTGCTGAATTGAATTTTATGGTTTAAGTGCGAGGAATATGATATTTAATAAATAAAGGTAACACACAAAACGTTTAAAAAAAAAAAAAAGGTCTCTTTGGGCGTAATATAAAATCTGAAATCTT